ACACACGCTCACTCACTCACACACACACACACACACACACACACATACGCTCACACACACGCTCACTCACTCACTCACACACACACACACACACACACATACGCTCACACATGAATATGCAAACACACACACACACGATCATAATTTTTGAAAAGAGAAAAAATGTAAGAACCACTAAAATGCAGTGATTTTCTTCTGACTGCGGCATTGCATATTATGCTAGGGAACATATGATTACAGAAAAAAATACAACAGACAAACAAACATATTGTTTGAGCACTCTTCTGTACTACATGAAGGACACGTTTGCATTTTTGCAAGTTACATGTTTTTTTTTGTATTATAAGAAGTATGCATTGCTGTACTTTACTGGCATTGATGGTTACATGAAGAATATTTAATATTCATGGAATTTTTCCATTACACTAAAAGGAAAAAAGGTTCTTTAGATTATTTAAATGCTCTTTACGCTAAGCAAATGGTTCTTTCAAGACATGTTCACTGAAAGAATCTTTGGGGAACCAAAAATGGTTCTTCTATAGCATCACTGAACAAAACCTCTTTTGGAACTTTTATGTTTAACAGTATGATAAAAAAAGAAGCCAAAGCAAATGCATCCTGCAAAGGTAAAGCTGTGAAGGTTATCCTATAAAGTTTGAGTTTTGGCCCTGCATGTTATGGGTCTGAGTGATCTGTTTAGGTCCAGTGGTCTCCAGTTACAAACGGCAAGAACATCTGGATGTATTTAGCTGTTTGCTCTGCCCGGCTACAGTACAGCCTGAGCTCAGAGGCATTAAAAGTTGCATTGTTCTGTTTCTAAAATATCATTCTTAGCAAAAAGATGATTTATCTGATAAACAAAACCTTTTTGGTCAGAGTGTTTACACCGACATTTTTGCACTTAAGCGGGTGTGAGTTCATCTAAAAGCACTGTGGAGCAGAAAGGGAGGAAATGCTGGGAAAGGAAATGGTTTCCTTAGAGTTTCCTGTGCCTAGGCTTGATTCTTTACTCCATTGGGGGTTTGTCCTGATCTTGTTTTGCCAAATCAGCAGTGTCACGGTGGCAGTAAGGACATGGCTTTGCTTTCACATTGCTGTGGGCTGCTGGGATACTAGAAGGTCAAGCACTGACCAACACTAAACATGAGAAGTGTTCTGCACTGAGGCTGTTTGTGAATGAGTTAACTGTTGTGGGCCCTAAAAGTCTTGATTGTTTGAGAGAAAACAATGCTGCTTTCCCCTCTGAGCTTTTACTGTTCTTCCTGAGAATGGAACCACTGGAGGAGAGAGCAGCACCAGTTTGTATCAGCATGCTGTGTCATCTCATACACATTCGTGAATGCGGGATTGTAGCAGAAGGAACTGATCTGGTGACAGTTTGGAGAAAGTTTCAAACAGAAGCATTAACAGCTTTATAACATGATACTGGAGTATTTGTCCAACACTAGAATATTTTAAATATGGCTCCAGTTGCACAATTCAGCATGGTATGATTACAAACCTTTTCTGGCTGGGATTTCTTGACATTTCTCGACTACCTGTGCTCAGTCGATCTGAAGGAATGCCTTTCCTTCTGAAACAACCAGTATGAAACCAAGTCCCCAGTCACATTTGTTCTTTTTCAATAATCTGCTTCACTCAGATGTATGTCACAGTATGGAAGAAAAGATCTGTTGCTACTTCCGTTTTATCACGACTTTAGAGCGGTTACAACCATTTTTAACTTGAATGTGCAAGGTTTCTGCAGCGATCTGTTTCCAGTTATGTTGGCTGTACAGAAACTGTTATGCTGCTTGATGTTACAAATTGGTGTTATCATATAATTTTAATTTATCATAGTAATCATGTTTGTAAAAGTTCACCGTTTACTGCACTTTGCTATTTTTCTAGTTATTTACCCTACTGCTAATGAATTGGAAGTCTCTTACTTTCACAGGAAATAGCTTATTTCCGCGTTGCAAAATGGACTGTACAATAGAGTGGTGGAACTATGGCGTCACTTTAAAGGCCAATCGGCTGTTAGCATGACACTGGTTCCCTGACAAAAAGGCCAAAAGGATTTTTCCATAGGCTTTTGGATTATAGTAAAAAATAAGCACTGTCTTCAACCATAGTTCATGATACTTACATGTTTTGTCCATCAAGATAATCTTCACAAATAATATAACTTTTATTAATTGTGAAGCCAAAATACCAGCGCCAGAACTAAAAAGCTAAGCTTAGGCTACAAACGAACAGCACCACAGTTGCTCGCCTTCAACGTCACCACCACCATGCTTCTGACAACTTTTTCAAACTTATTTTTAAAACCTGTTCAGTGAAAAGGATTTACTCTGTGGATGAATTTTAATCCACGTTACATGAACCTTTTCATATAAAAACTGGAATAAATACAAAACTAGAGCCAAACTAAAACTGAAACGAAACATTAATAATAAATAGCCTAGTATGTAGTGAATAAATGAAATAATTATAACTAAAGCACATATGAAAGCATATTTCTGTACATTTCGAATTAAGGTGCATTAAAAGTCAATAAATCCTTGACTTTACATTTCAGCTCCACATTTCAGTTTATCACTTTGTTACGGTGGTTACACAAAATTATATTTTATCCTTGCTTCTAGAAAATCCTCAATCTTTCTGCTTTCTAACAGCTTTCGTGTGGCTGTAAACATTCAATTTTAGTGTGGCTTTTAGCACTATGCATAATTAAATTTTTACTTTCACCGTGACCATGTAAAGCCGGTAAATGTGGTGTTTATTGTATAATAGTAATAAGAGTTTACCTTATGGTATGAACCCGTATCAGTAGGAAACAAGCGATAAAACGAGCATCTTTCATCCGAAGACTTGTGGTTGCATTTCGCGGGCAAAGCAAAAAACATTGTCGAACAACAATATAAAACCAGCTCACACACACACACGCTCACACACACTCTCACACACACACTCACACACACCTGCATCATCAACTAATTGCATTGATGGTATTCAAGAAAAGAAAAGCTAACACTTTAGTATAGGGAACAATTCTCACTCTTAACTAGTTGCTTATTAGCATGCCTATTATTATCATAACAGTTGTTTATTAGTACTTATAAGGCACATATTCTGCATGAGCATAGTCTACATCCCTAAACACCTAAACTTAACAACTACCTTACTAACTATTAATAAGCAGCAAATTAGGAGTTTTTGAGGAAAAAAATCATAGTTAATGGTTTGTTAATAGCGAGAATCGGACCTTAAAATAAAGTGTGACCAAACATAAAAAATGTAGTCATTATTTAATATTGTTCATTTATTATTAATATTATTTTTGTTTTTACAATGTTTTCTATAATTTTTAGTTGTTAAATTTATTGTAATGCTACTTTCAAATTTCAGTTTAGTTTTAGTTTCAGCAGTAACTTATTATTTTGGTTTTTATTTCATGGACACGTTTTTATTTTATGTGCTTTATGTTCTGTATTTAGTTAAGAAATCCGTTGAGGTCTTAACTGATCATTTTCAGAATGATTTAAATGAACTTTTAATTTAAGATTTACTGTTTACACTTAAACAAGCCAGAGAAAGCTGTTCAATATTTGACCAGTTTACCATTTTTATTTATCTTTAGTTTTAGTTTACATTAGTATTATTGTTGTTGTTGTTAGATTAGCTAGTCAAAAACTCAAGCACACATTTTTCCCACTGAGAAATTTGGGATTGGTAAGGTTTTGTCTCTTAGACTCTTTTAGTCTCCATTCTTCAGTATCACATGATCCTTCAGTAATTTAATAAGCTGATTTGTGATGCTCAAGAAACATTCTTACTATCTTATTACATCTTAATATTGTCCATGTTTTTGAAGTTAAAAAGAACAGCATTTATTTGAAATATAAATGTCAAAAATGATAAATGTATTTGCTGTCACTTTTGACAAATTGAATGTGTCCTTCCTGAATAAAATATTTTGTTTCTAAAAAAAAAAAAAAGAAAGACGCCAGACTTTTGAATGGTAGTGTAAATTTACTGTAAATGCAACTATTAACAATAAAACATCCCTAATATAAAAGCTCAAAATAAAAAGTTAGTTTAATTATAAACCATTTTAACTGATTGCTCCCCAAAACCTCTGCTTTATCTCTCTTTTATTGGCATGACATTTGTGTTACAGTATTGCCAAAGCATTTTAGATGTGTACAATACAGAATATGATTACACCATCAAAGTAAAAAAGGAGACAAAAATGAGTGATAAATAAATGAATAAATACAATAAAATAAAAATAGCAACAGCAGATAGTATTTCTAATATTAATAATTACAATTATATACAATGAAGACTGTCAAATAAAGCAAATTAATTAACCATTTCCTATGGTGTACACATATTTAGCAGCTAGTTTTGACTGCCGTCTCATCCTCTCCGAGTATATAGCGTAGTTTCACTGAGTCATCCAGAGAAGAAAATGAACAATTCAATACTTCAAATTGTGGAAAGAATATTTGTCTTGTAGTGGTGTATTTGGGGCAGACAAGAAGGAAGTGTTTCTCATCCTCTATTTGATTTAAGTCACAGTGCTTGCATAGTCGCTGTTCTCTCGGTATCCAGGATTGTTTATATCTTCCTTTCTCTATTTCGAAGTCGTGGTCGCTGAGTCGATATTTTGAAAGGATTTGTCTTTCTTTTAATTGTTTGATTGATAAGTAATTTGCCAATTTGGTGGTTCTATTTAGGGCCGAATAACACTGGAGTTTGGTTTGGAGGTCAAATTTGTTTTTTCATTTTCGCTGTGCAGCTCAAACGAGTCGTTATGCTTTCAGTTTCGTTTGCCGTTTGATGTTTCTCACACGCAACAGAAATGCAGCGCTTACGAGTTAAACAATGCGGTGGTCGCGCCAGTGCGACGCACACAAAATTCAGTCGCACCGGCAGAAAAAATTATCGCAAAATGTGCCCATTTGGTCGCACACCGGAGCCCTGTGCAGTACAGTATTTATTTATCCTCAGTTGTTAAAATCACGGTAATCGAATACAGTTATAGTGAGAATTAAAATATGAAACGGTAATACTAACCGTGGGGTATTTTATCGCGATTTATCATCAAACCGGTAATCGTTACATCCCTAAGTCAGACTCGGCTTGAGTTTCTTTCATTAGTTGAAGCACGAGTGTATTTAGAGGATGAGACACTGTGGGGGATTCATTGGCAAGGAGGGCTTTATATTCAATAGATTCAGTGTTCTGGAAATGTCCATGCGAGAGCAGAAGCGGGAGCTGGAGGAGCTGTTGTCCTTCTCTATTGAGCTCCAGAGGAAACAGCTGCTTTTACCACAGGAGAAGGTTTGTGTCACACAGCTGTGCTTCAGTTCACTTACTTTTTATCATTAATAGTGCAGTGCCAAAGCAGTTTTTAAATGTATGAATAGTAATGCATTTGACCTTAAATGAATTGAGCTTGATGCTAAAGCCCTCTTCACACTAGTGTGATTGATATCGTTGATATCGTTTTTATATAGATAATATTTTGAATTAGACTTTTTTTAAATTTATTTAGATTTAGTAAATTTGTGGTTTGAATTATTAATTAGTTGTATTTTATTTAGTTTTAGGTATTTTACTACATGTTGCTTTGGAAACTAGCTGCAATAAATTGCATTTATTTATTTATTTCTTTTCAGTTGACATTTATTTTTAATTTCAAGTGTTTATTAATAATTTTAGTTAAACCGTAATTACCCTGGCTTACACCAACACAAATGTTTTTCGTAGGCAATTTGTCTGTTCATACAGTGTATAATAAACGTTGTGAAGTCAAGCAGAGGTTACATTATTTACTGTACGAGTAATTATTTTTCAGATATTTGTATTTGTGACGGTGTTCATCAAACAACACCAAATGCAAGAGTAGAGATTCACTTCTGTTATTCTCTGTCACTTAGCAAAATACTTTGTTCATGAGCGTCACCAAATCCTAGCTTTTTTTTTAAAGCAGCAGTTTTAGGCATGTGATCAAAAAATGCTAATCTTTAATATAGCAATATAGTAATATAGCAGTAATTGAGGCCATAAAATCATGAGCATGTTTTGATTTAAAGGTCAGAAGCTATAGCTTGCATGAACAAAAAAAAAATCACAAACATGACACTTAAATTAAATAATTTTATATATACGTACTGATTTATTCATTAATGTGTAATATGTTATATTTTTTAAACAAATTATGATCTCTAAAAGATTTTCAGAATTTGTACAACTCTTTTGCTTTAGACCATTTACAAATGTTAAATCTTAAAATAAAATGTTAAGGTTACCACTGCATCTTTCTGAAGAAAAAAATGCAGTGATTTATATATAGTTTATTTATAGTTATTTTCTTGTACTGTTATTATGTACTGTCATTATAAAGCAACTTTATTATTGTTTATTTAATTCTAACAAATAAGTTCCTGTTAAAAACTAACCAAAATTACAAATAATTATATATCGGTATCGGCCAAAATGAGTTGAAAATTATCGGCATATCTGATATCGGGAAAAGTCCAATATCGTGCATCCCTACCAAAAATTATTCAGACACCAGATATGTTTTTTGATAATTTATATATCGGTATCGGCCAAAATGAGTTGAAAATTATCGGCATACCTGATATCGGGAAAAGTCCAATATCGTGCATCCCTACCAAAAATTATTCAGACACCAGATATGTTTTTTGATAATTTTTACTAGTGGATGCAGGACACTATGGTTCATTTATGTAAGTGAGGATAGCAAAATAAAGTAAACTGTGACAAATTATACCCAGAAATTCAGAAATTCTTCATACAGTGGACTACCAGTACAATTTATACAAATTTGGGACCAAAAATTATTCAGACACTTTGAAGTGTTTTTCTTTAATTGCGAATGCAAACTTTTTACACCACAGACTGAGCAAAATTAAGCATTGCTTGGTAATTAGTTGACCTAAATTGGTATTATCTAATTGTAACCGAATTCATTTGTGAGACAGAAGGATGGCATTATCAAGATTAATTTGTTCTGACACAGTTTAACTCTTGAGTTCGTCATATTTTATTACCATTTTCTAAACTATAGCGAATAAACTGTGATAAAGTGAGAAATGTTGAAAGTGTCTGAATAAATGTTGATTTGACTAGATTGTCTCGGCACACACTGAAAAGTGTGTACTTTCCCATCTACAGTGAACTATTTTAATATACTGGAAGTGTACAAATGGTTACACAGCACTTGCTCAATTCTTGTTGTGGTTTTGTTTACACAGTACAGATGAATGGAGAGATGGATGAGAATTAAGATGGCGTGTGTGTGTGTGTGTTTGTAGAGTAAAATCGAACAGCTGGCTGCAGATTGGAAAGCTCTGGACGCCAGACTGAAGGAGACTCCACAGCAGCCTCTTTCTCCATGGACACAACAAGTCTCTCAGCAGCAGTTCACAGGTGAGCACAGCACACACAGGTGAAGTGGACTCTCACGCTGCTTCTCCCGAGTGTTTACCGTCTGTGTGTGTGTCTCAGCGAGCGTGCCGTCTGCGGTGCACATGGTCAGTCTGATGAGCGAGGAGCGGCGTCCCAGTCCAGAGCTGGTGGGCCCCAGCGACCTGCACCAGACGGCCACAGAGCTGGCGGACTGGCTGCTCCTCATCCACCAGATGCTCAAATCCAACATCGTCACGGTGGGAGACAAAGAGGAGATCCACACCACCATCGGCCGCCTGCAGGTCAGACCGCAGAGTGTTTGTCATCGGTTTGAGGATGTTTGGCTCAATAGGGTGGCAAAGAGCTAGTAGCTTTTTCCTCAAATTGACAATAAAAACTGTGATCTCTGGCTGTGCTTCTGTCCACACAGAGTTATTATTCAGACCCCTGCCTGAGCAGTTACAGACAGTGTCTGGGCCGCTAAACCCGGCTCATTCTGAAGGTGTGTTGTGTTGTGATTGTAGGTGACTAAAGGAGATCTCGAGCAGAGACATCCACAGCTGGAAGACATCATCACTCTGGCGCAAAACATCAAGAACAAAACCTCCAACCTCGACGTGCGCACCTCCATCTCTGAGAAACGTGAGCGGATGTTCATCGTCATCTTCAGCTGAATTGTCTTTAGCTCAGCCTTGGTCTGAATCTGTTAGTCTTAGTCTTAGTGTCAGTATAAATGTGGCTTTGCCTTAGAGCTAATCTGAGTTAATTTTAACATTAATCCGCATTCGTCACTAATCACGCAACGCCGACGTGCTGCGTCATCCGCCGGAACTGCTTCAGTGGATGACAGTCAGCGGAAGTGAGAGAAAAGTGTTTACTACGTTTGAAATATGGAGATTTTTCTTACAAAAACTCGTGGATTCGCTACAGGGGGCCTTTATTCATCCCCCGGAGCCGTCTGCGTAGGGCTGTGCGATATGGACAAAAAAAACGTATCGTGATTTTTTTGATCAATTTTGCGATTTCGATTTTAATCACTATTTTGACACATGCTTTACAGTCATTAATGCATTCAGTGTAAATTTTAAACACATTTCCAAAAGAAAACCAATTAGAGCTTTATCAAAAAGGAGTAACATGTCTCTAGAACAGACATAAGGCAAAATAATCACTAAGTAAAGGCGTAACAAAATGTCTCTAGAATAGAAATATATGGCAGAAAAAAAAAATCCGGTCTGTTCTGTTCTCGTGCTCCATTTAGGCGTGCTGCATTCTGATTGGTTCGGATAGCATACTGCGGGAGGTCAGGGGCGCAGAAAATCGTGCTATAAAGCGATTTAGAAATCACGCAAGCTCAAATCGCGATTTTATGACTATTCCGATTAATCGCACAGCCCTATGTCTGCAGCACGTTTTATTATGAATGCGCGCGCTTTATTTGAAGACTTGTGGACTGTTCAACTGCAACACCCGCTGAGTGCCATTAAACAGCTTGAAAGATCAAAGACAATTTTTTATATAACTCGGATTTGTCTGAAAGAAGAAAGTCATATACACCTAGGATGCTTCGAGGGTAAGTAAAACACAGGCTAATTTTCATTTTTGGGTGAACTAACCATTTAATTGTAGTTTTTATTAGAATTTCAGTTTATCTGTATCCTCACTGTTGTTCAAAGTTTAGGGTCAGTAAGATTTGTATTTATTTATTTATCTTTTGTAACTATAAATCTTTACTATGATTTTTTTATCAGTTTAACATAACTTTGCTGAATAAAACTATTGATTTCTTTAAAAAAATATATATATATTGACCCTAGTGTACATAAGATTCCTATTTTAAATAAATGTTTTTCTTTTTAACTTTTTTATGCATCAAAGAATCCTAAAAAAAAAAGTATCACAGGTTCCAAAAAAATATTAAGCAGCACAACTGTTTCCAACATTGATAATAAATCAGCATATTATTATGATTTCTGAAGATCATGTGACACGAAGACTGGAGTAATGATGAAAATACAGTGCTGCATCACAGAAATAAATGATATTTTACAGTATATTAAAACAGAAAACCATTATTTTAAATTGTAATAATATTTCACATTGATACTGTTTTTATTGTATTTTTTATATTTGAATAAATGCAGCCTTGATTAGCAGAAGAGACTTTTTTCAAAAAAATCTAAAACATCTTCTTGATCCCAAATTATATACCTCAGGGTATATCTATATCTATATGTTACTCTGTCTTAATCTTAGCCTTTATATTAATTTCTTTTTGTGATTCTTGATAACATTTCTTTAAAAAGTTTTAATTTTAATCTTAACATTCAATAATTAATCATATATTAAGTCATGATTTTATGTTAACCTTGATCTTAGTTTTAGCCTTTGCTTAATCTCAGTCTCAGTGTCAGTTTTACTTTGCCTTGGTTTAAGTCTTTGCGTTAGCCCTAATCTTTTAGTATTAATCTTACCCCCAGTTTCACAGACAAGGCTTAAACCTAATCCCAGACTAAAGTGTAAATCTGAGCTGTTTTAACTGAAAGAAACTTGCACTGACTGATCTTAAAATATATCAGTGCCTTTGTTTTGTCTCAAGATGCACACGGGTAATGTTTTTCTAAGGCATGTTAATAAAAAGTACTTAAATGTCCTAATTGAACTATGGCCTAATCCTGGTTTAGTCTAAGCCCTGTCTGTGAAGCCGAGCCTTTGTCTTTCTTGTGATTCTTAATCATTTTTAGTCATAATCTTAATCTAATCTAATGTGCAATTTTTTGACCCTTTAGTTGTTATATCCATTATTTAATGTATTGAATATATTCAGTCTAGTTAGATTTCTTAAAGTTGTTGTTTTTTTTTTGTCAGAAAGTACCGAAGGCTTTGACAAATTGGCTATTGTTATATAAAAATAAATAAAAGAAAAAAAGTGAACCCAAAGGGTGGTTCTGATGTATAACACCTCAGACGTTTACACACAGTAAACTGAGGACGTGTATTAATGGAGAAGTGTGTGGAGCATCTGTTGTGTGAGATAGCGAGACTCATTCCTCTCTCTCTGCTGTGTGTCAGTGGAGAAGGTCCGCAGCCAATGGGACGGCACACAGCACGGCGTGGAGGCACGGCTTCTGCAGCTGGAATGCATGATTGGCCACAGCGACCAATGGGAGGAGCAGAGGCACAAGTTGAAGGCTCTGATTGGTCAAAACGAGATGTGTCTGCACAACCTGCTGCAGCTGAACCGAGAGCCGCTCACCAAACAGATCAGTGACAACAAGGTGAGATCTTGACCTTTGACCTGTGACCTTTCAGTCAGTAAGAGGTCAAATTGTTAAATGTGTAAAGATTTGCTCTTCCAGTAAAACACAATTTTCATACGTCTCAGCTCCTGAATTCTTTGTCCTAACCTAGTTGGGAGGTGCAGACAAATGCACTTTCCAACAAAGAAATACTGTTTTCGATTTATTTGATGACACAGGAATCTGGATCAGTGTGATTTGTAGTCGAGCGAAGAGAAGAAATCCATTAGGCTTTGTTTTTTCTTTTTCACTTTTTGTCATTTAATTAATTTTGGAAGTGACCCTATTAAGATCATCTGAATCTTAGCTCTACATGTTGTCTTATAGATATTTGAACAGTCTTTCACTAAAGTGGGTATTAAAGTGAAGAATAAACACTCGTGGTATGTTTTGTCAGGAAGTGACACAATTAAATTGCCTTATTTAATTAAAAGTCCGGAGTGGCCTTGTAAAAGGTACATGTTCCAATTAAGCCCACCAGTTTAACTTCAAACCATTGCTTCTGGCTAAAATATGAGTCCATAATAACATTCCTCCAGTGTTCCTCCAACTCCATATTTCTTTGTCAATGCAGCAAGCTTCTCTTATTTGTAGGCATTATCATCCCTATTCGTTTGATGTCACTTTAATTCATTTTCTCATCATGCTCAGTTTCTCCCCCAAATGAACACACTATAGCTGAAGTTCATGAATTCAAGAGTTCTGAGCACAGGAAATTCAGTGCATGTTGTTTTGTATGAGGTTTGATGTGTTTTTAGCTTTGTGGGCCCGTTAGAAACAAAAAAATTGAGCTGCTCACTTGACAAAAGAGTCATCTTTCTGGTTTATAATTACAGACAGAGCATGCCATCTTTTTGTGGCTCAAGAAGCTTGTAAAATCTTTTCATTTCCTGTGGTTATCAACAGCTCACTACACATGTTAATCAATTACAACGTTCAAATACAGATGATTGCTTTTAAGTACCAAGCAAGTGAATCATATGAGTTCGGCATTTGATTTATTTATTTTTAAAATGTATTTATCTTTTCATTTTCAAATTCCTGTCAGTATTCAGGCAGTTTCTTTGGGCGGCTGATCAAGCTCAGCAGATCGTTTTGTGACTGTCAAATTGTAGCAACACGTGATGGCAAAGCACTGAAAATGTAGTTGTGCATGTCAGTAGCACAGGGTTTCTGCAGATCTTAAAAATGGTCTTAAATCAGAGCAGAAAGTTGTGGCATTAAATGTTTTTTGCATTGCAAAATTCCTCCGTATATTTGTTTTCAAATACAAATTTCTAAACATCCTTAAACCAAGATACATTAACTTTAGATACAAAATGACAATATTGTTTTTTGAGAAATTAATCAAATTTAAGTGAGTTTATGCTTAAAACAAGAGTAATAGTGTTTTGAATGGTTGATTTTTCTGAGCCCGTTTGCAGATGCTTGTTCTTTTTAAATCATAAACTCACTTCGTCCATCAATTGTCCATAAAACAAGATTTTTTATTTTATAATACTGTTTTTTTAAGTAAATGCATCTTGGTTTAAGAATCTTTAGACAATTTTTTGTGTGATCAGAAGGTACATTAAAGTGCCCCTATTATGGGTAATGAAAGTTTCATATTTTGGTTTTAGGAGTCCCCAACAACAGGTTGACATGCATGCAAGGTCAAAAAACACTTTCATTGTCTTATAATATGCATTTATATTTACCTTATTTACTCAGCGACTCACAAACGTTTCGTTTAACGATTAATTTTTCCAAACCCCTCCTTTGCGTGATGTTAATCTGCTGTGATTGGTCTCAGTTTCATTTCATCATCTTAGTTTTAGCCTTTGCTTAATCTCAGTCTCAGTGTCAGTTTTACTTTGCCTTGGTTTAAGTCTTTGCGTTAGCCCTAATCTTTTAGTATTAATCTTACCCCCAGTTTCACAGACAAGGCTTAAACCTAATCCCAGACTAAAGTGTAAATCTGAGCTGTTTTAACTGAAAGAAACTTGCACTGACTGATCTTAAAATATATCAGTGCCTTTGTTTTGTCTCAAGATGCACACGGGTAATGTTTTTCTAAGGCATGTTAATAAAAAGTACTTAAATGTCCTAATTGAACTATGGCCTAATCCTGGTTTAGTCTAAGCCCTGTCTGTGAAGCCGAGCCTTTGTCTTTCTTGTGATTCTTAATCATTTTTAGTCATAATCTTAATCTCATCTAATGTGCAATTTTTTGACCCTTTAGTTGTTATATCCATTATTTAATGTATTGAATATATTCAGTCTAGTTAGATTTCTTAAAGTTGTTGTTTTTTTTTTGTCAGAAAGTACCGAAGGCTTTGACAAATTGGCTATTGTTATATAAAAATAAATAAAAGAAAAAAAGTGAACCCAAAGGGTGGTTCTGATGTATAACACCTCAGACGTTTACACACAGTAAACTGAGGACGTGTATTAATGGAGAAGTGTGTGGAGCATCTGTTGTGTGAGATAGCGAGACTCATTCCTCTCTCTCTGCTGTGTGTCAGTGGAGAAGGTCCGCAGCCAATGGGACGGCACACAGCACGGCGTGGAGGCACGGCTTCTGCAGCTGGAATGCATGATTGGCCACAGCGACCAATGGGAGGAGCAGAGGCACAAGTTGAAGGCTCTGATTGGTCAAAACGAGATGTGTCTGCACAACCTGCTGCAGCTGAACCGAGAGCCGCTCACCAAACAGATCAGTGACAACAAGGTGAGATCTTGACCTTTGACCTGTGACCTTTCAGTCAGTAAGAGGTCAAATTGTTAAATGTGTAAAGATTTGCTCTTCCAGTAAAACACAATTTTCATACGTCTCAGCTCCTGAATTCTTTGTCCTAACCTAGTTGGGAGGTGCAGACAAATGCACTTTCCAACAAAGAAATACTGTTTTCGATTTATTTGATGACACAGGAATCTGGATCAGTGTGATTTGTAGTCGAGCGAAGAGAAGAAATCCATTAGGCTTTGTTTTTTCTTTTTCACTTTTTGTCATTTAATTAATTTTGGAAGTGACCCTATTAAGATCATCTGAATCTTAGCTCTACATGTTGTCTTATAGATATTTGAACAGTCTTTCACTAAAGTGGGTATTAAAGTGAAGAATAAACACTCGTGGTATGTTTTGTCAGGAAGTGACACAATTAAATTGCCTTATTTAATTAAAAGTCCGGAGTGGCCTTGTAAAAGGTACATGTTCCAATTAAGCCCACCAGTTTAACTTCAAACCATTGCTTCTGGCTAAAATATGAGTCCATAATAACATTCCTCCAGTGTTCCTCCAACTCCATATTTCTTTGTCAATGCAGCAAGCTTCTCTTATTTGTAGGCATTATCATCCCTATTCGTTTGATGTCACTTTAATTCATTTTCTCATCATGCTCAGTTTCTCCCCCAAATGAACACACTATAGCTGAAGTTCATGAATTCAAGAGTTCTGAGCACAGGAAATTCAGTGCATGTTGTTTTGTATGAGGTTTGATGTGTTTTTAGCTTTGTGGGCCCGTTAGAAACAAAAAAATAGAGCTGCTCACTTGACAAAAGAGTCATCTTTCTGGTTTATAATTACAGACAGAGCATGCCATCTTTTTGTGGCTCAAGAAGCTTGTAAAATCTTTTCATTTCCTGTGGTTATCAACAGCTCACTACACATGTTAATCAATTACAACGTTCAAATACAGATGATTGCTTTTAAGTACCAAGCAAGTGAATCATATGAGTTCGGCATTTGATTTATTTATTTTTAAAATGTATTTATCTTTTCATTTTCAAATTCCTGTCAGTATTCAGGCAGTTTCTTTGGGCGGCTGATCAAGCTCAGCAGATCGTTTTGTGACGGTCAAATTGTAGCAACACGTGATGGCAAAGCACTGAAAATGTAGTTGTGCATGTCAGTAGCACAGGGTTTCTGCAGATCTTAAAAATGGTCTTAAATCAGAGCAGAAAGTTGTGGCATTAAATGTTTTTTCCATTGCAAAATTCCTCCGTATATTTGTTTTCAAATACAAATTTCTAAACATCCTTAAACCAAGATACATTAACTTTAGATACAAAATGACAATATTGTTTTTTGAGAAATTAATCAAATTTAAGTGAGTTTATGCTTAAAACAAGAGTAATAGTGTTTTGAATGGTTGATTTTTCTGAGCCCGTTTGCAGATGCTTGTTCTTTTTAAATCATAAACTCACTTCGTCCATCAATTGTCCATAAAACAAGATTTTTTATTTTATAATACTGTTTTTTTAAGTAAATGCATCTTGGTTTAAGAATCTTTAGACAATTTTTTGTGTGATCAGAAGGTACATTAAAGTGCCCCTATTATGGGTAATGAAAGTTTCATATTTTGGTTTTGGGAGTCCCCAACAACAGGTTGACATGCATGCAAGGTCAAAAAACACTTTCATTGTCTTATAATATGCATTTATATTTACCTTATTTACTCAGCGACTCACAAACGTTTCGTTTAACGATTAATTTTTCCAAACCCCTCCTTTGCGTGATGTTAATCTGCTGTGATTGGTCTCAGTTTCATTTCATCATGAGCTTGTGATGCCTGATAAAGCAGCGTTTGTGAGCGCAGTGCTCCTTCGTGTACAGCGTTACTGAGGAAACCACTGTTTTACCGCTCCAAAAGCAGCACCTAGTGGCAAAGAATGAATTTGCATTCCGTCTAAGGGCCCGAAGATCACGGGCATCCAGTATGGTTTTCCGGCCTTTACCCTTACGCACAGAGATTGTTCCAGATTCTCTGAATCTTTGGATGATATTATGCACTGTAGATGATGATAACGTCAAACTCTTTGCAATTTTTCTTTGAGAAACTCCTTTCTGATATTGCTCCACTATTTTTCGCCGCAGCATTGGGGGAATTGGTGATCCTCTGCCCATCTTGACTTCTGAGAGACACTGCCACTCTGAGAGGCTCTTTTTATACCCAATCATGTTGCCAATTGACCTAATAAGTTGCAAATTGGTCCTCCAGCTGTTCCTTATATGTACATTTAACTTTTCCGGCCTCTTATTGCTACCTGTCCCAACTTTTTTGGAATGCGTAGCTCTCATGAAATCCAAAATGAGCCAATATTTGGCATGACATTTCAAAATGTCTCACTTTCAACATTTGATATGTTATCTATATTCTATTGTGAATAAAATATAAGTTTATGAGATTTGTAAATTATTCCATTCCTTTTTTTACTCACAATTTGTACAGTGTCCCAACTTTTTTGGAATTGGGTTTGTAAATACTACTATATATTACTTCAATAAATGCTAATAAACACAATTTTAATTATTATGATCTATTAAATGCTACCTTTATTATGCCTCTACAAATATTTTGGAAACAAATTCTAATAAATACTCCAATATTGTGATTAAATTCTATTTTAATTATGCTTTCATTAATATTATTTTAATGAATGGCAGTAAATATTACTGTAGTGATTTTGCTCTGCTGTTTACAAATATTTTGGAAATAAATGCTAATAAATACGATTAATACTAATAATATTATTTTGATAATATTATTATGCTTTCATGAAAAAATATTGCAATACATACTAAAATACTACTGTAATAATATTGCACTGTTAAATACTTCAATAAATGCTAATAAACACAATTTTAATTATTATGATCTATTAAATGCTACCTTTATTATGCCTCTACAAATATTTTGGAAACAAATTCTAATAAATACTCCAATATTGTGATTAAATTCTATTTTAATTATGCTTTCATTAATATTATTTTAATGAATGGCAGTAAATATTACTGTAGTGATTTTGCTCTGCTGTTTACAAATATTTTGGAAATAAATGCTAATAAATACGATTAATACTAATAATATTATTTTGATAATATTATTATGCTTTCATGAAAAATACTAAAATACTACTGTAATAATATTGCACTGTTTAATACTACATTATGCTTTCACATAATTATTACAACACTCATATTAATTCAATATTTATGTGTTTAGCTTCTATTTTAACAGTGTTTGAAATCCTTTATATAATCCACATAACAATATATGTAAGGGGAAAAAAACGGCTTCTCATCACTGTATTGAAGAAACGATTGTCAGATGAAACATTGCATTAAATCATGAATGAATGAGATTTAATATTGGTTGTGCAGACTCTTCTTAAGAACGTTTCTAAGGAGTCGTGCACTTAATATGCACAGGTGTAAATCAGGCTTTTGAATTGACACACACACACACACACACACACACACACACTACTGAGACGTACCTGTAGGGGATGCTAGAGTCATAATTTCACTGCATTATTGTTTGGTATTCATATATTATTCAAATGTTTTAAATGCGAGTAGGTATTTTAGGCATGAACATATATTTCAGTTTTTGCCTTAGGTTACAAATAAAGATTTTAAGGTTGTTGACCATGATTTTCTGTTGAGGTAAAGTTACTTTCAGCAGCCATGGACACACATGAACCAAACATCATCTGACTTCTGTAGCGACTCCACTCTCTTTGTTGAGCTGTTTAGATGGTAGCTTTATGTATTGATTTCTTTTTGTTGTCAGGCGTTCCTGCAGGAGCTCAGTCGAGGACAGGAGAGCGTGACGTCCTTTAATGAACTGTCCAATCAGCTTCTGCAGGAATATGCCGCTGACGATACGCGCAAGGTCACAGAGGTCATGGACAAACTCAACACGGCGTGGAACAGCGTCAATAACAGGTATGTGCTCACACATCAGTCTGCATGTGTATTTATGAGCATGTTCATTTCCCAAATCTCCAATAAATGAGGAAATGAATCATGCACACACACACACACAGTGTGTCATAAACACACATAATCACACTAATGTTCAGCATATACAAATATGACACAGCACACACACTTCTCGACACACAGATCATCATAACATCTCCCTCCATAAATGTTATTGCTTTGGCATGTAATATTGTGGTAATGAATACTACTGTAATAATATTATGGTAATAAACACTGTTGTTGTTATTATGCTACCACAATATTGCAGTAACATACTGCAGTAATATATGCTACCATCATAAATATTAGTTATTGCACTTTTAGGAATTTTGCAAAAATGTTATCATGATAATATTGTGGTAATAAATACTACTGCCGTAACTGTGCTCTTACGAATATTGCAGGTATGAATACTACCATAAAGATATTGAATTTACACTACTACCATGTTAATTTAGTAATACATTGAATCATCATTATGCATTTATGATTATAATAATCAATAAAGGATATAAATATAATGTTGTTATAATAAATACTACCATAATATTTAAGTAATACTCTACCATAATTATTCTCACAAAGTACTACTGTATTCATTTGGTAATAAATTATGCTTTCATAAATAATGTCAATAAATATTTATAATACTTTCATCATAGTTATAATAAATACTACAATAACAATATTGAAGTAATTATTATGCTCTCACAGAATACTGCTGTAAGAATAATTATAACATAATTGTGCCTTCACAAATATTTTGTAAATAAATACTGCCATAATAATATGATTATAATAATTACTACTGTAATATTGAAGTAATATTTCATTCAAAATACTACTGTAAAAATATAGTAACAAATCTTATTGTAATTATGCTTTCACTAATATCACGTCAATACATATTAATAAATACTTAATGATACAATAGTAATAACTAATTAATAAACATTTAATAATCTTGTAATAAATACTACCATAATTGTTTTAATGAAATTAATGCTAATAAATAATCAATTAATAGAAACTAATCTGATATTAGATACTACTAAAATTAAGCTTTTATTAATATTATTTCAGTAAATGCTAACAAATACTACTGCAGTAATATTGCTGTATTAAATACTATTTTGATTATGCGTTTACAAATATTGTGGTAATACATAATGTTGTGAAATTAAATGCTACTATAATTATGCTTTCATAAATACTAATAAATACTACTGTAATAACTGCTCTATTAGATACTACCTTGATTATGCTTTTACAAATACCGTATAAATACAGATTTCTGGCTTGAATCTCTAGTTGGCGCAGTCCGATAGGTCTAACTCAATCTGACCTAATGACATCATTATCACATGGCACAGCTGATTGGTTCTCTCCTGTATCGGTAACCAATGAGCTCACTGCTCAACATTCAAATATAGGACTAGTGCTTGCCGTAGCAGTTGCAGCTTGCATCAGAAACTCTCCACCTTCCCCAGCTCCACCTGTTTAGATCTGCTACGAGGTGATTCATGTATGCTATATGGGGTTATTTCATTTATGTTATATTTGCAGCAGCAATATTTCTTACATGCTCACAGCAGCATGTTGTGGATGTATTGGCAGTAGCAAGTCTCGGTACTCAGCAGCAGCATAGCAGATCTATTTCGCCAAGACCAAATACATTAACATTGTCATGTACATTACCATGCCAATCCCTCCGAGAGTTGTCATGACAGAAATAAATGTTAATAAATGCTTCCATGATAATATAGTAGTAGGAAATAGTGTAAACATTGTGGTTATATGAATTTTGCATTATGATTGCACACATATTACCACCATAATTAATACTTTGCTGATATGAAGGAAATGTTTGTGGGTTGACTACAGTTGTTTAGATTTTTTTCAGCATCATTGATTGTAGTGTGTTGCACTGGTTTGTGGTCATCAGGGCTTCGGACCGTCAGGCTGCGTTGGATTCAGAGCTGAAGTCTCTCCAGGCGTGTCTCCGTGAGCTCGAGTCCTTCCTCAAGTGGCTCCATGAGACGGAGACTACAGTCAACGTGTTATCTGATGCCGCCCAGAGGGAGGAGCTCTCGCAGGACTCCGCCCACATCAAAGAGCTGAAGGGGCAGCTTGGGGTAAGAACATGTGCATACTTATATTCCATCAAATCCATTTGGGACGAGAGCCAACTTTGCTGCTTATTTTGGCATCCCAGAAGGTGTGTGAAACCAACCAATCAGATTTGAGCTTGTGATTTTCAGCTAGCACTTGCCAGTTTTGATTTCTACCACTGAAATGCATGAGACGATCAGTGTGTGGACTGCAGGCGAATCTGGAAGATTCGGGAACTAAAGTGCATGTGAACGATATTCAATTATCTCTCCGTAAGTCCTCATTAGTTCCCTCGTCAGCCAGACCCGCAGCATATGTGTAATCAAGGTACAGATCACTTCATCTGTGAAAGAGCGTGTCTTTCTTCTCTTCTCTCTCCTCCGAGTCTGTGTTTGTCCTGTGAGATTCACACATCACAGTTTGATCTCTTTATCTGCTGTCCACTCTAATCACGACTGTACTACCATTCAGCAGCCTACACACTACAAATGCACTAAACACACTAAAACCGATGTCCCCACTCTAAAGTGTGAAGTCGCACCAATTAATTGAATAATATTTTATTGTCATGTTGCTTGGCAACAAATGGCAATTTTTGCACCCGTGAAGGGCGCACTGTGAGGACGTTTGTAGGGTCAGTTGAAACCAAAGTAAGCAGCTGAATTCTTTCGTGAAGGGCGTTAGTGAAGTGTACTGACGATTGTCACTTCAACATCTGAGTGCAGAGTCCTCAATTCATTCATTTGAAGATTTTAGGGCTTTACAGGGTCAAAACTGCTCACACTTTTGCATGTTTTAGTTTATTTATGTGTTTGTTTATTATCATTATTACATGAACTCTGCAAGTGCTGTGAGTTTGAGTCCCATATGACGTGCATTTGATACACATAATGCACCAAACTTTTTCACCCCAGTGTGTAATGACGACAGTTTATAAATCTGTTGTCATCAAAAGAGAAGCAAAGAGATGTTGTCCTGTGACTTCCTGCCAAAATAAAAGCGTTTGAAAGCAAAGTAAAAAAACAGCCATAAATAATATTAATTGTAATAATAATAATAATTATTATTAAATACTTTACAGTTCAGTAGTATACTAGTATATATTTCGGTAGTATTGCTATTTCTTTGAATTTTATAAATGAATGAATTGATGCATGAATGAACGAATGAATGCAATTAGGGATGTTTCCCCAGTTCGTTCACATGCACTAAAAGTAAAGCCAAGGTTGTGGGTTTGTGAACATGTTTGTTAGGGCTCGTCACAATGGCATGTTATGAAAGTGTTCAGTCTTGGCTGATGTCTGTGTTTGTTTGACGTCAATGAGAGTGACATGAGAAAGAGACTCACTGATGTCTTTATCATTTCAGTGAGAACTGCTTTCCTATTATTTCCATGACAATAGTGTTGAAGTGCTGGCTGTGACGTAAAGCAGCGGTGTGTAAGAGTGTAGGTTATCATTTATTGTGTTTCTTTTCTTTTCCTTGTATATTTCTGATGCCGTTCTATTTTTTTGTTTTTTTGCACAAAGAAAAAAAAAATGCTTGGAAGAAATGGCATTTGCTCATCTAGTGCCCTAAAAGTGTACACAAGCTCATAGTTGGCATTTTGGTGTTTACGTAGTTTGTTCCCCATCCATCTTTGTCACTGTACAACTGAATCACGCTCAGATCACACTGAGTCGCTAGTGGTTAGTGTGACGAGACAGACAGACTTATCGAACGCTCATCAGGAGACAGACAGACACAGATCTGAGATGCAAACACTGAATGTTTGTTTAGCTAGAGATTGTAGTGTTTCTATCCTCTTGAATGTGAAATGTTGTATTGTGATGTATTTCTGAGTGAAACAGCAGGAAAGAGGCCACAACTTCCCCCTAAGTCCCCCCCAGTAAATAAATAAATAGTCTGGTTAAGTCAAAGCTATTGCATGGTTTCCTAAGCTTTGGAAATTGCAAAAAGAATATTTTTTTTTTATCTCTGTACTATAATGATAATATTATGGTGCTTTTGTGTCCTTTTGGAAGCTTAAACCTGAAATTAAACTTGTAATTGCATGGAACAGAGCGACCAGCACATTCTTCAAAATGTCTCATTTTGTGTTCCAACGAAGAAAGTCAAGTCATACAGGTCTGGAATGAAATGTGCTCAGAATCTTCATTTTTGGGTGAACTATTCCTTTAAGGACGTAAATGGGGTCAGTATTGATTTCATGTTAGGTTTGTGAATGATTGTCATCAAGGGTCATCAGAAGCGCAGAATGAGATAATAATAGCACTTTCACACCGCAAAAGAGCGAGTGGTTTCCATTTCGAGTCATTACTGTTCTCCTTGTGTCTCCCTCATTTCTCTGATGTGTCTCACTGCTCTAATTCTCTCTCTCTCAGGAGATGTGCTCTCTTTCAGTAAAGTGTGTCACCCTCACTCATTCCCTTTATGAATTTATACACCCTCTCGTTCTCATTCTTTTGGCGCTGGAAGAGACACTCCGTCTCTTGAACGCTCTCCGGAGTTTCTCTCTGTCCGTTGTATCAACCCTTCCCTCCCTCCTCTCTCACAGCATCTTTCGCTCCCTCGTTCATTGTCTTTTTTGTCGTTTGGTGTTAATTCTCTCTCCATGACTCATGTTTATCGCTGGAGAGAAGCGAGCTCTCGTTGCCGTCTCAGTCCTGACGCGGTTGAGTGTGCGTGCGTGTGTGTGTGTGGGACATGTTTGTTAGGGCTCGTCACATTTTGCTCGGCTGGTGGTGGGGGATATGTGAGCGTGTGTGAGTGTGTGTGGCGGTGAGGATGCGTGCTCTCAGACGCTGGCAGTCGTGTGCTGGCAGAGTTAAGATGATGGCTGTAGTTCGGACGTCTCTGCAGAAAGTGGTGGTCTTCTTACACCGGCTCCAGAGAATGGCGATATCCTCACCGCGTTACCAGAAACTGTGCAAGGTCAGTGTCTTGTGCACGCACCCGCTGAAGCGCTTTCATCCGATCTGTGCTAGTTTACGGTAGTTGGATTTAGTTTGGTTTGTCATGAGTTCTGTTGAAGTTCTGGTTTGTCATGAGTTCTGTTGAAGTTCTAGTTATACAGTTCTTGGATTTCGTCTCATGCGTTTTACTTATTTTTTGTCGTAGTATTTTTTTTCCCCAGTGAAATCCTTTACAATAATCTTTTGTTGTATTTATATTTCATATTTTGATAAAAGTCTTGTTTTAGTGCATTAAAAATAGCACAAGTTTGCAATTTATAATGTTTAGTTCTGTTCTTTATACCAAATGGCAATATTGATAACTCGTACAAACCACATACATAACCGGTATGAACATTTTAATGGCATTGATTTAATTATCCTTGATGAATTTGGATGTGATATCTTCAAATAGCGTGCAAGAGTTTGATCAGTGATGTAGTTTCCAGCTGTTTGTCATGAGATGACCAGAAAACCTGTCCAAACCACATTAGAGTGGGAGGAACATTTAAAAGAAGTTAATTTGATGTAAAGTATAAGAGATGTTAAAGGATTCCTATTAGTGATATCGTGTATGAGTTATGCTATGTTTAGCTGCTGTCAGCGTGAGCTGTCAGTAATCATCCTTTGAGTGTGTGTGTGTGTGTATGTGTGTGTGTGATAGCGATTAGAGAAAGCAACAGCTGTTCTGATATTCAGTGTTTAGCTGAAATCCTCACAGGATTTACACACACAACACACGGCGCTGCTGAGAGATGGAGAGCTTTTTAAACAATAGCGAGTTCATCTTTGTGTGTGTGTTTGTTAAAGAGACAGCAGCACGTGGCAGTGTCGTGTGTGAAATTGAGACTGGGTCTCTGTTATTGTAAGATTACGGAGTTCGCGCCTCTGAAGTGGGTTATATTCAGCACTTGTTTTTGGTATTTTTAAATACGTTTATTGCGTTATAAAATAATGCAGTTCAGTGATTTTGCATTTTCACCCTCTTTCTGATCTTTTAAATATAAACAATTAAGCAAGCTGTTTTTGTTACTGTTTTTTTTTAACTTCCATATGTAAATGAGCGCTATTGTGATTGGTTAATCAATGTGTGCGGACATAGTTCACACTGTCGTTCAATCGGAGCTGGTCCAGCTGCTAAATGCTGATTATGTGGTAATGTAAAATGTAATGTAATGTGCAGTTATATATTAATATAAATTCAGGGAAGATTTAAAGGGATAGTTCACCCAAAAATGAAAATGTTATGTTTATCTGCTTACCCCCAGGGCATCCAAGATGTGGGTGACTTTGTTTCTTCAGTAGAACACAAACGGAGATTTTTAACTCAAACCGTTGCAGTCTGTCAGTCATATAATGGAAGTGAATGGGAATCACGGCTTTGAGAGTCAAAAAAACATACACAAACAAAACCAAATTAAACCCTGCAGCTTGTGACGATACATTGATGTGTAAAGACACAAAACGATCTGTCTGTGCAAGAAACTGAACAGGATTTATATCGTTTTTTACCTCCGATTCACCGCAATGTCCGAACTGTCCTGAGTGCGTTCACGTCGTCGTCTTTTTCTTCTTCTTCTTCTTCTTCTTCTTGCTTTACGGCGGATCACAGATATCACTTATCGCACTTATAAGTGCATTACCGCCACCTATCTCTCAAATGGACCATTGACACTCCTAATTGAGATTGTAGATAGAGTCAATGGTCCATTTGAGAGATAGGTGGCGGTAATGCACTTATAAGTCTGCGATCCGCCGTAAAGCAAGAAGAAGAAGGCGCGTCACACGACGGCTGAAGAAGACGACGTGAACGCGCTCAGGACAGTTCGGACATTGTGGTGAATCAGAGGTAAAAAACGATAAAAATACTGTTCAGTTTCTTGCATAGACCGATCGTTTCGTGTCTTTACAGATCAATGTATCGTCACAAGCCGCAGGGTTTCATTTGGTTTTGTTTGTGTATGTTTTTTTGACTCTCAAAGCCGTGATTCCCATTCACCTCCATTATATGACTGACAGACTGCAACGGTTCAAGTTAAAAATCATCATATGTGTTCTACTGAAGAAAC